TACTCCTACCCCTGACACACTCCCTCCCCCTTAACATTTATTGAACTTCACACAAGTGACTGAGTGGGTTTGACTGCACTTATGAGAGAAGTTACAATTAATATTTAAACAGCAGCTCTCTGCATCTAAGCTAATAACAGATTTGCAAAGTATTTCCTGCAAGCTAAAATCACAGATGGAGTGTTGACAAAGAGATGTTACAAATGCTATGAAAAGGCTTAAAGTGATAGATAACAGAAGAAATGTTTAAGATTTATTTTCCACTACACTAAAAAGACAAAATAAAGTGAATAGAGTTCTAGGCATTAAAAAGAATCTTTTGCAATTGTTAACCACTTAGAGGCAAAAAACCACATCATTGTATCTCGTGACTGAACTGACAGACACGTCTGCTTTACTGTAAATATATAATTCATAGCATGCCATACCGTTTTATGGAGGAGAAGGATGCTAAAGTGTTTTAGACAAGACCATAGTAGAATATTATAAGCACCCCTGGAGCAAGGCAGTGGTGTGGAGAAAGCACAGTCACACTTTCTCCCCATCAATGCACACGCTCCATTATGGGAATGTTCTACAATGTATCTATTTTGAAACCAGCCAATTTCTGATCGAGAAGAGAAATATGGTTTAAGAGTAGTTTTGGGGTTTTTTTGCATATAAACATTTGCAAGAAAGTATAATCTTATATATATTATATATATAATTTTATATATATATACATATATTTGCAAGAAAGTAGAACTGTGCAGAAAGCTGAAAGTACTGGCAAGAAATACAGCTCAAAGTCTACAAAACCCATGAGGAGACTCAAAAAATTCCTTCCAGGGCTCTTCAAAGAATTTTAATTACCTCTAGTCTCAGCATTCTCAGAGAAGGGTAAGTTAAATTCTACATCTACATGCTTTCTCGTTTGAAATTGTGAGTAAACAGAGACTTTTATGAAGTAGTAATATATTTCTGCACAACATCAAAAGAAGCACATTTTGTGACAGAGGTGAATAGTTCATCCTTAACATATCCTATATTACACTGGGAAAGAACCACATGGAGCTCTTGAAAGAATTCATAAAGGGGAAAAAAAGATGATGTTTATTGTCTATAACAATCATGCACGTCCACTGAAAGTTATTAGTGCTGATACAGAGAGATGGGTAAGAAGGCTTCAGTTAGAGCTCTCATGCACTTTCTTTGCCACCATAATGGATACTACCAACTTAGTTCTGTGAAATACCTGCTTCTTACAGTAAATCCTGTTAGGAGGTCAGCAGAGTGAGGTGGAATTTTCTTCTGTTCTCTTAAAAAGATTTCTAGCAAGGAGGGATTATGTGTCAGGGCTGGTCATGTAAAAGAAGTTCCCCTTAGAACCTGTGTGTTATGGCAGTGCAGCAGCTGGACTGACATCCACAGGCACAGCCACTCACATCTGGGAGAAGGGCTGGGATGTCTGCAATGGGCCAAAACTCTATCTTTCCATTCCTTCCTACAACTATACCTCCTATAGGCATATTCAAATGTGCCAGCACTAACCTGTCAAGAAATGTTACTATCCTTTATATCTCCCATCTTAGCAACATATAGGGGAAAATAAAACTAAACCCAAAATATTTGCTCAGGGACACCCTAAGGAACTTCTGAACTACAGGTTGCTGTGAGAAAGGGCTTTGTACTGCCCAGGTATCTTGTTATACAGATGTTGGAGGATGAAGCTGAGGAAGAAGCTGAGCAATGGCTCAGGCAGGAGGAAAGAATGCAACTTTCCTTTTCAATTTTTGTAGACGCTGAAAGATTCTCTCCAACACAGACTAACTGTGTTTGTCTTTGTCACTCAGGCTTTGGTGGATTTATGGGATGTGGTTCATTCTTATATTTTTATGCAAGAGGAGAAACGCCCAAGGAAGAGTGACAGCATTATCCTGCTGTTTCCCAGACAGTTCTTGTACAAACCATCTCATTCCTGCATTGTAGAGGCTTGCAGGAAATAGAACATCAAACCCATTAATCCCAGAACACAGTTCTGGGAAAAAATCAGAGTAAATGCTACTGTCCTCAGCTGCTAAAAAAAGAGCTCACAGTACTATATGCAGTACTGATAGCACTACTCTGAATAATAAAAATGCTCAATACCTAATAATAGGTTTCAATTACATTTCAATATACAGTTTCAGTTGATAGCAATTTTACCAAACTTCATTTATTTGAACTCTTTTCTCTAATAGTCCTGCCTCCAGCTGCAGCCTTTTAACACATTTTCTCAAAATTAATTCATTTCCAATAATGAGATTTTTTCCTTTACAGCAATAGCTGAAGAAATTAAATAAAATCCTTACATCCCTTCTGTACCTCTGCCTTATGAACAAGAGGACCCAACAGGGAGCAGCTCAGTAAATGAGTAGGAAAACAACTGGAATGCCCATGCCCTCCTAAAGCTACTTGCTTTGGGGCTTATACTTTGTTATATACAGGCTCTGGGATATGTGCTTTGGACCCCTCAAAATCAGAAGTCGGTTTGGGGGTAATGGAATCACCAGTACCACAGAACCAGCAGTTATAAATGTTGATTGCAGACTCCCTCCCTCCTACTCAAAGTTAACACAAGAAAGACAAATCATGGCTGGATCAAATATTGCTAATGTATTCCCATAAATAGACCCTGTCTCTGAAATTCTTTGCAGGCTGGCAACCTTGATAAAAAGGAGAGGGCTTAATGAATTTACCATAAAAGTTTTATCAGGAAAATTAAGTGAAGATGCCATTAGGGTAAAGTCTACACAAGAAAACTTCTATTGTTCAGAGGCTCATTCAGTATTCTGTATGTAAAAGAAACAATCTATTTATTTCAGGAGGCTTCTGCCAAAGTCAACAGATCTCTCTAATGCCAACAGATTTCTTCCTCCAAAATAAAAGCCTTTATTATATAAAGACCTTTCCTAAATAGACATTAATTTCTCTGCAGAGCAGGAATTTTATTTCTGTTGCATATTCTCCTCAATGATGCATCTGCAGAGAACAGAAACAGCCAAAAATAAAAGCCTGCTGATACATCATTTTTGTGATGATGTTGGAGGGGTGGGTTTGAGTCCCACTGCAGAGCTCCACAAAGAGCAGTGTGAAAGCACCATGCTCCTGGACATGCACAAGCTTCATTATTCTGATTTTTGTATGGCAGCACAGTACACCTCACTGGGCTACCACAGGAAACCAAATACTGCAGCATGGAACCCTCAAGTCAAGCAAATACTTCTCACTTTCAAGTGTAATCCAGTACATATTACAAAACATTTATTTTAAATTGTTAATTATTATTAAATTGTTTTAGTAAAATAAAATAAATAAATAAAACCAAATAATTACCCTACAAATTTAAAGGAATGTTACTTGACTCTGAAGAGATACAAACGTCACCTTCCCAAATAATTATTATTTTTTAAAATGTCTGTGAAATAAAAAAAAAAATGACATTCAGGAAAGGCAAGGAAGGGGTCAGACACAGACTCTTGGAAGAGAGATAGGCTAGTGTAACTTTACAAGGAATTTGATCAATTGATGGGAGGATCACAATTTCATTAGCTGATTGGATTTGCTCAGACAAATACACACAGGGGTGCAGATGGTAATAATCCAACTATGTAAGCCAAATACCAAAATAATCAGATGATAGCAGCTGCTCAGGTGGGTTTAGAGGTCAGCTAAGAAAGTGAAGAAAATGCACACAACTAAAATAAGGGAGCAGTAGAGGCTCTGCTCTTTTTCTCTGCACTCAAGTGTGACACTATCATCTATAAAAGTACAAAACTCTTTTTGGTCCAGTGAACTACATCCATCGGACACAGGGTGTGACTTATTTCACACACAGTCTGTCAAATGCCACTGGAGTCCTTTTACAGCTGGCTGGAGTCACAGAAGGACAAATCTGGCAGGAATGAATTTTGGGCAAAAGAACGGTCCTGGAAAATTTTCTTCCAGTCTGGCAGCCAGGCTGCAAACACGTGA